ACACACTGTTGCATATCACCCCGGACTACATATCCCATCATCCACTGCACTGATGACACACACACAGTTGATTGTACAGCACTGATTGCACACAGCTGTTATCACTCACACATCCCCTATTTAACTCTCACTCTGATCCCATTCCACTGCCGAGTATTGTTTAGCGATTATCACTCTCCTAGGATAGCTACATTACAGAGCCCATTTAGTTTGTCTTATCCTTACCTTAGTCTTGCCTTGTCTGTGTTCTCTGTCCTTGATCTTCGCCTGTGTCTCTCGGATTCCTCCTCTCGTCTTGCTCTATTTTTTATTCTGTTTGCCCCTGCCTGGACCTTGCCTTGTACCTGGACTTATCCCTCTAGTCTCACCCCTTTGATTCTGTTTGATAATCGTTCACCTCCGCTAGCATTAGGTTTCTTCTTGTGTCTTGCCCGCCATATACCTGTCTGCCATTATCTGACCCATGCCTGTTTTATGACCACGTCTCTGTCTTCTCCTAATAAATAGCTTGCAAGTGGATCCGCACGTCTCACGTCTCGTCAGCCCCGTAACAATTATATTGTGAAAGTGCTGTTTATGTAGTTATAGGGTTAACGCAGAGAGTAAAAGACGCGGTAGAGAGAGACGAGTTAGTTAGGCTGGTGCACATGTGATACAGCTGTTCTGCGTTATAATTAAAGGTTAAGAAACGGAGCGTATTTTGTCTGTCATTCTTCAGACATTACAGTAGACATATTTTGGTTTTCAAACTGTATTGTTTCATCAGTTAGTCATGTTAGCAACTGAAGCGAACGAACCGTTTCGAAATCATGGACAAATGACTATGTATAAATGTATATTCTGAGAAAATTAGAGTGTTTTCTGACCTTAGATGCATTTAAACCTGTTGTAGGGAACTCCAACACAATATTAGGACACTTTAAAAAACCATATGACCTGCTCTTTAAGAAATTTGAGATTTTTGCACATTTGTGCTCTCAAACTTGAAAATGTGCAGTTTACTTCTATTGCAAGTGCCTTAAAGTAACCACTTTTTTTCCAGAACATTACTTTCATGAATGGATTCCAGAAAATCTGAAATGCTGTTTAGTGAGCATGACAAGTGTACAATACACATTCTAGAATCTGTGCTCTCTATAAGCATTCGTGGCAAATGAAAAATCTCCATATTAGTTCAGTTAGATCAGTAAAGAAACCTCGGCGAGAGTATTAAGCATGATCAAACTGCATGCTATAAGTGCTGCAGGCAGATTTAGAGCATGCCATGGTGAGCGTCTAGAGACAGCATTGCTATCGCAGCTGTTAAGGCAGCACACAGCGCTAGCAACAGCAACTGCACATTTGTACCTGCCAAATTGGGAGTGGCTCGGTAGGGTGGGGGTGGCACACTGGCAGTGATGACCCCACCCACTGACACCAGACCTGCATTGTTGTACGCACCTGGGCAGCATCCGGAGAAAAAGGTAAGAACATTCTGCATCCAGTCCCCCAAATTAACTTTCATATTGCACACAGACATATTGCTGGCATATGCATGGTCTACTATTTTTTTGTACATTAGGGAAATTATTACTCGTACAATTTATTCTTGATCATTTTTTTCTAATCTGAAAAAAAAAGGGTCTTACTTGGAGCGATGGTTGCATGTGGCCTACATGGTGGGATAGGGTATGGCACAGGTCTGTGCGGATTGTACGTTGATGGTGACTTACGGAAAAAGAGAGAAATGGATGCAATAAGAAATTCTTAGCCATTAATGAAAAGCACTCAAAGAACAAATATGTTTAGGCAATAACACCTGGCCATTAAAACATACTGGTTTGCTTGGTCCAAGGATGCGTGCAGCAATGCCCTTTCCATCCAGGGTTGCATCGTCTCCATCCTTTTTGGCAGGAATTCTCTTTAAAGTTCCAGTAAAAGCCACAATTAATTTTAAAGAGCTAAATTAAACAATATGCATTTAAAAGGTATTTAATAGATTTATTACATGAAGGAACTTACAGGGAATGTTCCAGTGACCTGGCTGGGTTTGCCTTTGGGGTAAGGGTTGCCTGGGATCATCCCGCAGGATGAAATCATAGCCACTGGAGCTTTACATCCCACCTTACACACCTAAACAATTACAGACATGTACTGCATTTATATCCTCATTCATTCAGTATAGTCTACACGTGGCCATGACGTACAGCTTGTAAATTCACATGAATGTGTAAGTTTTACCTGCTCTAGGATTCTTCTTGCACACTGCTTCTCAGCGAGGTGAGTACGGAACGCATCATCCACGGGATGGAAATTTTGGGCATCAGAAATATTTCTGTAAAGTATATATTCCATATTGCATTGCCGCATGATATTTAATTTGTTTGGATATTTGCTGATGTGCATAATTTCTGTAGTGTGTAACTTACAGAGCTATGAGTTCCAGTACAATAATTCTGTCCTTTGAGAACGTGAAACAATTAAGTATGTTTGCAACCTTCGTTGTTGGAATTGCAACCATTTTCTGAAGGAAAAACCATGTGATGCAGTTAAATGAAGTCATTTAGCTCAACTAAAAATAAAAAAATAAGAAATACATAAATAAAGAAGCAGAATTCTTACATGTTGCAAGGCTTTGACTGCCTTTATCTGTGGCTCTGCCCAGGAGAAGTATTTCAAAATGTCAATCACCTGAGGAAGGAAGTTTGACATGTAAGCAGATGTAAGATTCTGTGGAATTACAGTTCTCTACTGTTACTATAGCAACATACCTGTTCACTGGAGAAATACCCATGAACCTGCTCTATAGCTTTGATACGTTGATCTGTCAAAACACACTTCAGAACAAACAAAAATGACAGTATAAATGTTATTCTCTGTTGCATATTCAATCATCATAATCACCCAAACAGACCACAACTGCCGCTTTCCAGAACACACAACCTATAAAAATATATAAACCTACGTAAATATTAATAACCCAATACCTTTCTAATTTCGTCCAAGATGATATCAAAGGATTTCTTGTCCATCTTCTCTGTCGATGTTGTGATCACTGTATTGATGACCAATTCCTCCTACAGCATCTCAATGACGACCCTTCATTCACCTGCTGATGGGAAGCTTAACGCAGTAACCCCGTTATACTTATTCACAGCATCAATGTAAGAATTCATCAATTTTTTGCATATGATCTATCCTTTCAGTGAACCAAGAATAATTTTGGAGAGGTTCAGCAGGTAAGTTACTATAGAAGGCTGTCGGTCTCTTTAAGTTCAGGCTGGCATGTCATGAGGAACAACAATGGTCCAGTGCTAAATCACACACTCCTCAAATGCACCATTCTTCACATACATGCAAGTCTTTTATCATGTTTGCACAATTACAGATTTCGCTGAAGTGATTGAAGGTCATAGTCCACGCGCTAGTTTTGATAATTTTGATATATCGTCGCTGTTTGTTGGGGTTTAGCAGAGATGCTAAAGCCTGCAGTTCGTGTGCGACTTGCTTTGTCAGGACCCCGACATGAAAGAGTCTGTTTCTAAATACGCCTCAAGAAGAGTTGACATTATATTTTGAAATAAATGGCATTTTGTAAACTATTTATATTTTATTATTCAATTACTAACTTATATTAATGGTACTTTTCGATTTGTCATAAATACTGATAATTCTTTGTAACGATAACAAACTAATTAGGTATGCATATTAATTAAATGTATATTATGAAGTTTATTTCTATGACTTTTTATAACATACATTAAAAGCAACGCGGTGAGTGAAGTTTTGTCGTATTTTTTTTAATTAGGCGCATTACCGGACACCTACGCGGAAGTAAACAGCTGTAGCTTTATGTAAAATATGCTCTAGTTCTGTTTTTCACTTTTGTTTTATTACATTGATAAAAATGGACAGGTTTGTTTGGACAAATGGGCTACTTGAGATGAACGAAACGTTAGTAATTCAGCAAAGAGGAGTGAGACTTTACGATGGGGAGGACAAGGTATTTTTTCCCTAGATAGTTAGTTTGGATTCAACTGAAAGTTATGAAATGACAACCATGTGGAAGATACCGACCTGACAATGATGTAAACATTACAGCTAAACACATGTATATTTTAGATGGTCGTTTTCACGTTGCTTATTCGTGCTGTTCGAAAGAAATGGTAGAATTGGGTTTTACAAAATGCAATAATAGGATATGCATTACTTGAATAGATAGTGTATAATAATGCTCCATATGATACTGTTTCCTCATTGACAGGCTAAACTTGATGTGGGAGTCGTTCTTCTCAGTACCCATCGCCTTCTCTGGAGGGACCAGAAGAATAATGTATGTCATCTTCAGTATCTTTTTACTGCTCTTACATTAAGTCATGTCCATTTTTTAAACTTATGTCAGACTTTTTTTCTCACTCCTAAATGTCCTTTTGCTTTAAATGAAGAACAATGTCTGAAATCTCTCATTTCTCTGTAGGAATGCTGTATATGCATACCCTTGTCTCAGGTCATATTCTTTGAGGAGCAAGCAGCAGGCATCGGAAAGAGGTGACTGCATTTTAACATCAGTGTGCGATTAATGCATCTGACATGTGTAGCATGCCATAATAATATTGGAAACTACACCCAGTTACGTTAAAAATAAACCGCTACCTTTCCAACCTGCAGTGCCAAGATTGTTGTTCACCTGCATCCTGTCCCGGAAAATAAGGAGCCAGGCCCCTACCAGCAGAGCAAGTACTCTTATATAAAGCTGTCCTTCAAGGAACATGGGCAGATTGAGGTCAGTAACTTAAGGAGTGATGTCACCGAAATATTTCAACTGATGAAATGAAGAACAATGTCTGAAATCTCTCATTTCTCTGTAGGAATGCTGTATATGCATACCCTTGTCTCAGGTCATATTCTTTGAGGAGCAAGCAGCAGGCATCGGAAAGAGGTGACTGCATTTTAACATCAGTGTGCGATTAATGCATCTGACATGTGTAGCATGCCATAATAATATTGGAAACTACACCCAGTTACGTTAAAAATAAACCACTACCTTTCCAACCTGCAGTGCCAAGATTGTTGTTCACCTGCATCCTGTCCCGGAAAATAAGGAGCCAGGCCCCTACCAGCAGAGCAAGTACTCTTATATAAAGCTGTCCTTCAAGGAACATGGGCAGATTGAGGTCAGTAACTTAAGGAGTGATGCATAGATTAATTCTGCTTCGCGTACATGGAGCTTATTACTCCACTAAATCTGTCTTACAGTTTGAAGCATGCACTATAAGCAGTCATGGCATTTAGAGGGGAACAGAGCAGAAGTGTTAGAAAGGTGTAAGTAAGGTAACTTGTGCTGTGTTTGGCGTGTAGTTTTACAGACGTCTAACTGAAGAGATGACTCAGAAACGATGGGAGAATACACCGGTCTCACAGCCCATCCCCACAGGAGTAGGACCCAAGGTCAGCTTAAACTCAAACTTTGAATGATGCATTAACAACTGGGGTTTGTTTTGATATTTCTATTAATTTCATAGTTTTTTTTAATAATAACAAATTGTATTATTTTGTATATATTTATGTAATTAATAGATTTGGATAAATTCTATAAAAATATGCAATAGCTAGTGTTATTTTAGTATTTACTTGTGTATTTATTAGTATATTTTAGTTAGTTATTTTATAATATTTATTATATAAATAAATATTTTTAGTTTGTGATTTTAAAATATGTATTAATGTTTTGAGTCACGTTTTATTTTTGTACTTTTAAGTTTAATTTTAGATTTAGTTTGTTTTAGCATTTGTGTTATGTACTTTTGTCATTTTAATATTTCTATTTAGCTTTAATTTTACATTAGCTTTATTTTTTTTTATTAAATCAGCATTTTTATGTCTGTTTTAGTTTTAGTAATTTACTAGAATAATTTGAACTGAAATATGTAAAAAATTATTTTAGTACTTCAATTTATTTACATCAGTTATTTGCCAAAACAACTTTTCTATTTTTTTTTTCCCATTTTAAGTTTTTTTCAAATATTTTAATTTTAATTTTATTTTATTTCAGCATTATTTCAGTTACCGAAAATTGTTTTAAGAATTTTAGTTTTAACTAACAATAGCACTGTAGCTATATATATTTTTTTAATAGTAATGATTATTTTGTGAAAAACTGAATAATGCAAGAATTATTAATATTTTTATTTTTTTCAATTAGTGCCATTATTTATTTATTTTGATTAATTTGGGTTTCATAAATTGCTAAAACTAACTTTTAACTTTATAATTTTCGTTCCTTACCTATATATATATATATATATATATATGTATTTACACACACACACACACACACACACACACACACACACACACAGACGTTGCATAATCACCAGATACAACTTTGTCAGCTGTTCTTAATTGGAAATAGCATTAATTATTTTAAATAAATATTCATACTGGTGGCAGCTGGTTAGTTACCTACTCTAGGGATCTGGTAACACTTCAGAATAAAAGGAATCTTTGTGAATTGCCTATTAATTCAGTTTTGAATGAATAATGATGCAGTGATTATTACATCCTCATGGTGGAACTGTAAGAATGTTGTTTGCCACTTGCCATTTGTGATATAAAGCTGTTAAAATAATTACAAAATGTTGTTTTACTTTGGATATGTTGATTTATTATATATGATAGTTAGCCGTTTAAAAGTTTGGGGCAGTAAGATTTTTTTTAAATGTTTCTGAAAGAAGTGTCTTATGTTCAGAAAGGCTGCAATTATTAAACTATTAAAACTATTGTGAAATATTATTACACAAAAAAAAAAAGTTTTCTATTTGATTATATTTTAAAATGTAATTTATTTCTGTGAATTTTTAGCATCATTACTCCAGTCTTCAGTGTCACATGATCCTTCAGAAATCATTCTAATATGCTAAATTGCTCAAGAGATATTTCATATTATTATTATTATCAATTTTAATAACAGTTGTGCTGATTAATATTTTTGTAGAAATGTGATAATTTTTTCAGGGTTCTTTGATAAAGAGAAAGTTCCAAAGAACAGCATTGACTTGAAATAAAAACTCTTTTTAAACAGTTTAAAAGTCTTTATCACTTTTGTTTGATTTAATGCATCCTTGCTGAATAAAAGTATTACGTTTTTTTTTTTAAGTCATTGACCCCAAACTCGTAAACAGTGGTATATACACATATGTACTTGTAAGAAGAGCCTTTTTATAAGACTGTTTCCTCCTCAAAGTATATTACTGCTGTGATCCTGCTTAAGTTAATAGGCTTTCTTAGATTACATGTAGATAACAGCTGTTATATGTATTGTTATAGCTATCTGTTTTGTTTTATTTGGCCTCCATATGCACAGATATGCTTCTAAATGGTTTATTACGTTTTTTTTTTTAAGTCATTGACCCCAAACTCGTAAACAGTGGTATATACACATATGTACTTGTAAGAAGAGCCTTTTTATAAGACTGTTTCCTCCTCAAAGTATATTACTGCTGTGATCCTGCTTAAGTTAATAGGCTTTCTTAGATTACATGTAGATAACAGCTGTTATATAAATATTGTTATAGCTATCTGTTTTGTTTTATTTGGCCTCCATATGCACAGATATGCTTCTAAATGGTTATCAGATATCAGTCCTTCTCTCTTCAGTAAAATATTACATTTGATTATGTATGTATGTATGTGTCATGTTCTCTGGCTCAGTGGAGTGTCTATAAATTAAAAGCTTGGCAAACAATGGCAGTGTAATCCACACAGAGCTCAGAAATCCCAGTTGCTCGCAACATACACTTTGTACAGGGGCATCGAGGGCAAGGAAATGAGACAGTGAATTTTAAATTATTTAAAAGTATATATGTTAATATGTTTATGAAATGTAATAAAATGGATTATTAATGTTTAAAAACTTTTGTCTGACAAATCAAGTTCTTATGAAAGATAATTTGAGCAAGGTTTGACAGTGAGGTTAGTTCAGGTTCTAAAATGTCATGTGGTGTGACTCCCCAAGACCTAATGATATTTATGAATTAATAATTCTAAATATTTGGGGAAAAACATTTTTAAAAAAAACACATCACCGTTAAAAAGTTTAGGGTAGGTAAGATTTTTTTTTTTATGTTTTTGAAAGCAGTCGCTTTTGCTCACCAAGGCTGCATTTTTTAAATCAAAAATAAACTAAAAACAATTTAAAATAAGTTGTAAGTTTTATATTGTTTTATATTACAATATGCTGTAGATTAAAATTAATTTATAATGTTATGTAATGAATAGTGTAATTTGTTACTGTGATGCAAAGCTAAATTTTCTGCAGCTTTACTCCAGTCTTCAATGTCACATGATCCTTCAGAAATCATCCTAATATGCTGATTCGCTGCTAAAGAAACATTTATTATTATCAATGTTGAAAACAGTTGTGCTGCTAAATCATTTTTGTTGAAACCATCATTAATGAATAAAGACGTTCTAAATGTCTTTACTGTCACTTTTGATCAACTGAATGCTCCCTTGCTAAATAAAAGTATTAATTTCTTTAAAAATAATCATAATGACATTTAAAAACGTTTTTAAAATGATTAAGATGTGTACACACATTAAAAGTGTAAGGAAAATGTTTTGTAAGGAAAAGTCATTTTTAGGGTAATTTCTTTGAAATATACATAAATATTAAAACATTAAAAAAAAACTTTCTGAATGGACCTTTTTGAGGCATATAATCTGTCTCTTGCAAATTTCTTCTCAGCTTCTCTCTCCAGAGGACTTAGTCAATGCCTGCAAGATGTTTGAATCACTGAAACTTCCTCTACGGTAAGGGTGTGAACATTTATATTTGTGTGTGTGTTTGCGTGAGTAAAAGTGAGTAAATGTGAATGTGTCTTGAGTAAGCCAGTCTTTGTAGGCCAAAGCAGGTCAGCGTGGGATCGGTCAGCCACTTCCTGGCAGACTTCCTGTTTTCAGGACCCATGTCCGCCCTCTGTCTGTTGGCTGTATTTTCCACCTTTCAAAAGAAAACAACAATTTAACTCACAAACCACAATTAGGTTGCATACGATTAGATTATGAAGCAATGATTGTTGGGGTAGTTCACCCAAAAATTAAAATTACCCCATGATTTATTCACCCTCAAACAATCCTAGGTCTATATGACTTTCTTCATTCAGACGAATACAATCGGAGTTATAGTTAAAAATTAAGTACCGGTAATCACCAGCATAAACATAAGTTTTCTTTCCCTGTCAGGTTGCGAGTATTTGATAGCGGCGTGATGGTGGTTCAGCTCCAGTCCCACAGTGAAGAGGAAATGATTGCCTCAGCTCTAGATAACGTGAGTGCCGTGCCATCTTTTTCCCTCATCTGTGAAATCACTTATGTGGCCATTCAAACATCATACAGCAACTTCCTGTCAAGTTTAATTACAGGTTCATTGAGTGGAAATCGGATCAGACTTATAATCACAAACTTGTACAGCCAATTTCTTCCTCTTCTATTAAATGGTTGTGGTTAGGAGAGTGAGAGGAGTTTCCTGTTTCATTCTCCTAGAAATTGCATGAAATGAACCACCTTCAAAGTGTTTTTGGACAAGACACAGCTAGCAGATGTGATTGGGGGTGGTGTTTTAGGTCAAAGAGCTGGAAGGAGAGGTGTATCAGATTAGAAATGTCCATCCCTGAAGAGTCCAAGACAGATGTGGTAAAGGAGAGGAATGTAAAAAAAAAAAAAAGCAAGCATATTTGAAGATCATTTGACATGGGATGGCAATTATTGCTCTATTCATATTGAATCAGCCATTAATTTTATTATATAGGTGAATCTGACGAAACCAGTCAAGATCATAACTGGGTCATGTTTTACACTAAAATAAGAATAAGAAATTAGTTTGTGCTTTAAAAAAGCCTGTTTCAGAACGATTAAAATATTTTGCATTGGTGAATCATTTTAAGTAAAATTAAGCAAGTTTTCCACCAAAATCATTTTTACAGTAATGAAAAAAATCTCATTACAAAAATTGTAAAAATTAAATTATTTTTTATTTAAATTATGCTTATTTAGACTTATTTAAACTCAATCCTGGAGGGCAGGTGTCCTGCAGAGTTTAGCTCCAACTTGCCTCAACACACCTTCCATGGAAGCTTCAAGTATTCCTAGTAAGAGGCTTGATTAGCGGTTTCAGGTGTGTTTAACTGGAGTTTGGTGACCCCTGCTTTAATATATATTTATATAAATACAAATAAAATGTATTTTATTACAGCATATTATTTATTTTCTTTAATAATAAATGAAATACATTTAAATGCTTAAGTGCATTATTATAATGAGTATTTTGGACAAGAAATTTGCTTATAAAAAAATTAATTAAAAATTAATTAATAAAAAATATATATTTTTATCCCCTTTCAATTCTAGTGTGAGACATGTGCTGTATAAACTCACTGTGACACATTTACCTTAATCAGAACATAGTGTTGTATATATTTTGGCAATATCCCCACAACACAGAGCAGTGGTTTTGGTGGGCATCCATCTGGTTTAATTGAGGTTTCCTTCTCTTTTTCCTCTCCCAGGTGTCTGATAAAGGCTCCCTCACAGCCGAAGAGTTTGCCAAGCTGTTGGGACTGTCAGTTCTGCTTGCTAAAGAAAGGTACATGAGACAGCCTTTTCCTTATTTCATCAATAATTCATCCTTCAAGCGCCTTCTCACTATTTTGATGTATCGCTCTCTTTTACAGATTGTTATTAGCTGAAAAAATGGGTCACTTGTGCCGAGACGATTCAGTAGAAGGTCTGCGTTTTTATCCCAACCTGTTCTGACGCATGAGGGCAGTTATATGTTATCGAACCCAGCTGGCTCTTAGCTTCTGTTGGCCCCGGATCCCTCTCAGAACGGATAACTGATTAGCTCTCACTCTGGACATAAGTGGGCACCTACTTTCCACTGTATTTGTCAATAGGGTCTTTCATAAATGTGGGTTAAGGTACTTGCGTACATTACCGCATCTGTTTTTTTTCTGTGTCTAACATGCTTAGTCGTTTTCACAGCCTTTAATGAAATGGCGATGACAGAAATGATCATGAGGATGCAGAGGACAGTTTCATGTTTAAATCAGTTATGTTGATATTGTGACTCCAGCACATGTTCAATGCATAAAAAGATGTGTGCATTACATATGCATCAAACTGCTGTGTAAACACATGAGTAAGAATGTAAGGAACATTTTTTATTAAAACTCAGGAAAAAAAAAAAGCAGAAATAACCAGAAAATCATCAAAACATCAAAATAATTCAGTGACACTTGTTGAAAGCAATCTACTTTTCCCCTTATGGAAGCATAAAGTCTTCCACACTTATTTTGGACCGTTGTGTGAAAATAATATTTTAAAAAAGAAATCTGTCTTTGGGTTTTCTTTCATTTGTTGATTTATCTTTCTTGATTATTTCTAGTGTGTTATCACGTTTCATTGGCATTTTTCAATCTGGTGTATTATATCAGATGTTTCATCAGCGTTGTTTCTTTTATGACACTAATTGCTAGTACTGAGAAATGATGCTCTGTTTTTCTACAGTCTGTTCCATAGAAACATATGAGCCAGTAATGACAACTGCGATTACAATGCGTAGACTGTTCCTAGATCTACTTTAATATATTAATGAACTTAAAATGTTGCCTGAAATGCTAAACTCATCTTGAGACATACCTCCCCATTGTGAGGAGATTTATTGAGGAGAGGTTATATATATATAATTCATAACATTACATCTGCAGGAATCATGACAGCCACACAAATGTTCAGTTATATATATATAGTTATATAGCAGAAAATTAACCGCTAACTTCTGACATTTATGTTTGATAACATGAACTACAGTAGCTAATTGGCTGCATTATAATAGAGAGCCAGCAGAGCTCTCTGCTCGGTCACTGAGAAATTTGTGATTCACATTGAAAATGTATAATATGCAGTTCTTCATCATTTGTAGAGTAGACGTAAATGCTAAATAGGTTTTTGTGGAGATCAGACCGCATCCTAAATGAATTTCCCTAAAAACAGCCGGTAGAGGAAGCAAGGGAACGCGCTCAGTCTGTGTCGCTCCGTGACGTTCATTCATTTAACGCTCAAAAACAAAACTCAGGGTAACACGATGCCATTCAGCTCGACCAGGATACAAGAACATTCGCTATTCATCCGACTCAATGTCATATGTAAGTAAAATACTTTTATCATCAACCTCTATTGGTTATTTACCTTTAATTTGAGCATTTGAGTGTAGGCTATTGACTGGTTTTGGTTATACGTGTAATACATGAGATTTTATTTTGTGTAAGATTAAGATTACAGGTATCTGGAAAATATGAGTAATAAGTTATAAGTAACAAAGTAATGTGGAGGTTTTTAGAGTGTTAAAATTCAGCCTATTGTGTACCAGCAACATTATATAATGTCTATAATTAAACCCTATTTCCTTTTAAAGTACTATAATAATATATAGTATTGCGTGATAATTATATTTAAGAAAATTGTATGAATATATATATATATTTATCATTTCTCTAAATATTATTCTCTATTGAGATTAATATTTCATTACAAAAAAGTAATGAAACATGCATAAAAGTTTAAAGTTATAAGTAACAAAGTAATGTGGAGGTTTTTAGAGTGTTAAAATTCAGCCTATTGTGTACCAGCAACATTATATAATGTCTATAATTAAACCCTATTTCCTTTTAAAGTACTATAATAATATATAGTATTGCGTGATAATTATATTTAAGAAAATTGTATGAATATATATATATATATATTTATCATTTCTCTAAATATTATTCTCTATTGAGATTAATATTTCATTACAAAAAAGTAATGAAACATGCATAAAAGTTTCTATGCAAGAAATATTTTTGCATAATTAAATATTGCTCAAGATTAGAAATTAAAGAAAAGCAATCGTGTATAGCCTATATTTTATTAAGTGTAATTGTAGGCTATGTACTGTATGTATGTAATGAATAGTCTATGTACTATGTGTTAAAATGTGAGATTATCAAGAAGATATTCAAATTCATATGTCCACCTTACCGATCAATAGTCCAATGAAAGAGTCAGGTGATTGCCAAAACAAATAAGTGTGGAATGGAGGTAGAATAAATGTATTTAATTCATCCCTTGTGTCTGTCTCAGGACAAAGTGAATAAAAGTGGATTGTGGTGATGTGGACAAAGAAGGATAAGAGGCCGCAGAAGTCGGAATGACACAGGGTTTCCCTACAGTGACCCCATTTGTGCTGCTCTTCCTGATGGGATTTGGTGAGATGTCCTTACATTTTAAAGAACAGTTTGTCTTGGAACTTAGTCAAGTACATTTTTTTTGTATGCCTTATGCCTTCAGCTTTATAGAAAATCATGCCTTAATGCCCAGCAGAGTGTGCAAACCATAGGTGACTGTGGCAAGGAAGGGAACTCCAAATCAGCAATGTAACAAGGTGTAATAAAACCATTTCATTCTCATTACATCCGCAGGAATCATGACAGCCACACGAATGTTCAGTTATATAATCCAACTTTTCTGATTCTCATACAAAATAGAGTTTAAATGAAGGTCAGTGATTGGCAGTTTCAAGTGCAACGTGGTGAATTGGGTTCAGTTGGAGAGGAAAATGGAGGGAGGGGGAAGGGAGGGTCACTGACTTTTCCTGCACTCTCTTCCCCTGGATGCATTTGTTTTTTCTGCAGGAAGTGACCCACACATGCAGCATTTGTAAATCACAAAGCCTCCTCAAGTTCTCATACTGCAGGAATAGACAACAGTACTGTACTGCTGTAGAACTTATCTAAAACTTGAAAAATTAACCTGAGAACTTACGTGTTTCAGTGTTGCATTATTATTAGGTAGTGTATAACATAGTCTTTTCATCTGGCTCAAAAGGCACAACCTTAAATGTGAAAATTGACAGTAATATCAGAGACAAACCATGAGGTCTAATCCATGTCTGAAAAAAAAGTGGTTGGCTTATGTGCTCTGTCACGATAGACTGTGGTGCATATAGTGGCGATGGTGAGTTTGCGTATTCTAAAGATCGTTTCTTCCTTTTCTCCACATTACTTCCTGTCCTACATAGTCACTGTCAATAAAAGTGGCAATAAAGCCAAAAAGAAAATAAATGTTGGGAAATTTCTTCCAGGCCTGTAGTTGGCAGTCTTCTAATGTTTTTAGCGATCAGACTGAGTTTTTCCTAGAGGACAATAAAAGGGGCAAAAAAACTTCTGAGCCAGAGAAGGACCACTACCATAGAGACTTGAGAGTGGGCTCTTTAGTGTTGGGCCAGTAAATAGAACATCCTTGTAACTGCATAGCAACATGCTAACAACCACTCAGAATCCTTTAGCAAGCACATAGCTAAAGAAAACCACCCACCCTTGCATTGTGCCAATGAGTTTTGCATGGTTAAGAATCACTAACATATCACTCCTGGTCATGTTATGCTACTTTAGGGAACATGGTAATAGCACAGATACAAACTGTTCATCAAATTTGCCTCCTAAGGTTTAGGTGTACTGATCAATTTTGATTTATATTTTCCTTCTTGTATAGCAATGGCTGGTATCCATCTCTGGCCATCAATGCACATCGCCTTGAGCAATGCCAGTGTGTTTGTGGATTACAGCACTGAAAGCAACTTCACTGACCACAGCCTGACAGTGTCATTGATTGACATCGACAGGAATGTTCCAGTACTCTCCAGGTCGCTTCCCTTTAACCAGCCAGAAGGGTCACTGGAGTTGAACTGTTCTTGCTTCCTGTATGCAGGTAATTTCAGATTCAGACTGGAGCAGAAGCACAGCCTTGCCGTGTCTAACATGAGTGCCCTCTGGTGGTGGAGTCCAGTTCTACATGTGCACTGGCCCACCTTTCACTTGGCTGTGGATCGTGGCAGCAACAACCGGAGCTTTAATGACTTTAGGATTGGAGTGTACACTAACGACAACTTCCATCCTTGTTCTAGCAACAAAGCTTCAACTCTCTTCCTTGACGTCAGTTACCTGGAACAAGTCCAGATAGGGAGGAACACCTTTGAGAAGGTTCAGAACCGGATAAGACACAATATTAAAGTAGTTAGGTCACAACATGTGGAGATGCCATGTGCATCCCCTCTGACAGATCGTGGCTTCATCCAGATTTCCCTAAAATCCCCTCACACCCAACAAGACATCAAATCCTCTGGTCCTCTTTACCTGTCCAGCATCTTCTCCTACAAGCTTCTTGTGGATAACATTTACAAAAGTGGCTGTGAGGGAGCCGTGTCTGTTCGTCGAATCACTCCTCCCTGTACGGTTACAAATGGAAAGGTTCTGCTTTATAAAGAAGAGAATAATGACATGGCTGCTCCCTCTCACCTGGCCTTCAATTTCCTCACACAAGCGGAGAATGAGACTGAGTTTAACTGCTCCATCTTTGACCCCGGCAGGAATAAGTATTGCTTCCATTTCACACTTGTCTACAGTAAGGCTCCCAGTTTAACACACACCTGTGTGATTGTGCAAAGACATACAAGTGAGTCTGCTTTTATATGTTAAGCATGTACAAAACATAGCTAATTTAATCTGGAATTAGCATTTAGTTAGGAATAGGAATTAGGAATTAGTTTTGTTGATTTCTTAGCTTTATGTTTAAGGCCGGACAGAATCACACTGTTGAATATAACCTAAAAGCAAACTTTGCTATTTATTTTTATTTGCTAATTAATTTGCTGATTTTACTACGTAGTGCTGAATACTAAGGCATTTATGACTATTTCTGTTGTTTATATTTAGGATTAGTGATTTGAACCCCTAACTCACAACCCCTAACTCAGGGGTGTCCAATCCTACTTCTGAAGGGCCACTTTCCAGCCAAGTTTAGCTTCAGCTCTAATTAATTTCTCCTGAACAAGCTAATCTGGGCTTAACTAAACTTCTTAACTAAACTTCTTGGCAGGTGTTTGAGCTAAACTCTGCAGGAAGGTGGCCCTCCAGGAGCAGCATTGGACACCCCTGCCCTAACCTCTAACCCAAAGTATTAAACATAGTATTGCAACCAGCTAACAATTACCCAGAGCACTCTGGAAATGCCTTTGCAACACCATGGCATCTTAGCAAGGATTTTGACAGTCCAGCATCATTTACATTTTCCTGAGACAAAATCTATTTACTAATGCTGCTTAAGGTGTGTGTGTGTATGATATCCATTATTTTCAATGTATTTTTTCTC